CCTATTATTAACACCACCTTTTTCTTCCCACCTACATTAAAACAAAACACACTGGAAGACTTACAGTAGTTCATTCATTAACAGATCTACTGTACCCAAAGCTCAGGTTATATTAAGAGAGGGTCAGTGCATTCTTGCTGAAGCTTTTGAAGTTCATACTTCATTAAGTTGCATGGCATTTTGGCGTGGAATTGAGAGCTCTCGTCTCTACCAAAACTCTCTCAGAGAAATTCTGAGGGTTACCCAGCTCCTAAGTGGCAATTTATACAAGAGACTCAGTCCACAGACTGATTAAAGACCAAAGTCAACGGGAGCGCCTTTATCAATTAAGTGCTTGCCCTCCCATACATTCACTAGGTATGACACATTTAGCTTTGTCATCCCAAATAATGTAGGCACACCTTAGACAAACTGTGCATAGGAGTGCTGTGATTTAGAACAAGTTCATTCCTTTTAATCAAAAAGAAAAAAAAAAAAAAAGGCAGTGATGCATCATCCTTCCCCAGCTGCTAATCTTTTCCATTTCACACCCACTGATTATTATCATTGCAAAAAAAACCACACACCCGTCTTAAAGGTGGATCTAAAGTTGTAGTCTTGGTAGTAAAAGTCTTGGTACTAACAGAGAGAAGGTGGCAGAAGATGACACTGCTTCACACCTCATCCCCGCACATCACCTCAGTCTGGTCTGACACTTTCATACCTGGTACCACTCTCAGGTTTTACTTCTAGAAAACAACATGGACTTCAGAGTGGCAGAAAATGTGAATGGGTTTAAAAGAAGAAGTCAATAACATTACAGTAACCCTAGAGCTAGCAGCCAGCAAGGCTGAGATCAGAAGCCACGAAGGCTCTTCTGAATTAAGATTACTGGGACATTATGCAACTGATTTGATTGCAGTCATTTACTTGTGTGCACTCTGTATTTACCAGTTTGGTTAGAAAGTGAGACATGGCCTGTGATCCTTGATGCATTTGTACTTAAATCTCCTGCTGGATACCCCACTGGACTCTCAATTAATGACAGCATTTATACAAAGATCACCACTTTGCTTCCACCAAGCTCTTTCCCATTTCCTTTCTGTCACTACAATTTTAGCCTCAGTCACATTTAAGTGAAGTGATTGATCTCAGCTACTTAATTTATAAACAGAGAACTTCACCAATTTATTGCAATAAAATAAAAACACTTAAAAGTAAGCCTCTGTTACTTAGAGCAATGCTGATCCTTTTTTTCCTATCCACATACTCTTGATGAGTTAAATATTCCAATAATACCCCAGCAAGAGCTAGGCAGTACCCTACAATGCTCAAGTTGAAATTCTGACTTATGTTACTGGAGATATTCAGCTTATTCAAAAGGGTGAAGATGAAAGAGGTCATGTCAGGTATCCACTGAAAGCAAACAAAACTGAAGCTCCTGACTTTTTGCATCCCATGAATGCCAGAGTTCTGCAACTTCCCCACTTCACCCTGAGCCCTGGCAGCACATGGAGCATCTCAGTCTTTCATTTGGGTTTTTGGATGCACAAAGGCCCAGAAAGAGCAGGAGCAAGATTTGAAACATTGTCCTACATCCACTCCCTCATGGTTGATAGAGCTTCTCTACCAGTGGGACAGCTCTGAAGTACAAGAGGGATACAGGTGAGGCCACTTTCAGATTTAACATGATACCTGAGCACCAACAGAGATGTTCCCCAATACTGTCCCAGGACTGCTCAGCCACATGAACTTATTAGCAAATCCTGCAGTAAAGTACAGTTGAAGAAACCCACGTATGTTAAAAATGTTCATAGAGCAACTCTTCCACAGAATATCCACAGGCACACCAAAGCCTCCATATAAAGTCTGACCAATACAAATAACATATTAGGGAAAAAAACACCCCCCAAAAAAACACAAATCAAAAAACAACAAGAACAGAAGAACACCAGCAACAAAAACCAGAGATCCCAGCCAAGCAGCAGCTCCTTTTCATAACCTTGAGCAATGCCAGTGAAAAAGCCAGGAGATGAATAAATCCTGGTCCTTACTACAGCCCTACGTGCGATGCAGATTACAGCTCTAGAAACTATCGCTGCATTGAAGCCAAGTTTGTACAACAAGGTCTAGGACCACTACTTTGCAAAGAGACGTGAATCCTTCATCACAGCTGCACAAAACACAGCAGACCTTACTAAGGACTTCCCAGCTCTGCTGCCCTGGCTCTTCAGAACCCAGCTGCTGGCAGCAAGGCAGAGCTAAGGTTTGTCCCCCAGTAAGCAGCTTTAGAAAGGAGGTAAGGTTTGGATATCTTTCTTTCCAATTCACACAACCCTGGGCCAAAGGCGCCACCGTATTTAAACACAACTGAGTGCTGACAGCCATGCAGCTCGGGTAGCTGCTGGCCTGGCGTTAAGTGTCTCGCGCTGCGCCGAACTTGCACTGCGCTATATCAAGGAATGCATAGCTGTCCTATCTCTCCTGGCACCAGCTCCTCTGCCTTGTGACCATGCTGCTGACAAACCAGGAGCAGCACCGAGCTCATCCCTATATTAGAGCATATGTGGAAGTTCTGCGTTTTCTATCACCCGCAAAATTTTGGTCTCCAGTAGATTCAACACCTCAGGTTCCCAGTTTGTCTTTCGTAATTATGAAGTTACAAGTCCAGGCAATCTGTTGATCATCAGATAAGGAGTAACATGCTACAAGCTGATAGACTTCCAGGAATAGATCTGGAGACATCATCTTTTTTTTTTAGCTTCTCCATTCAAAAGTAGATCAGTAAAGTTGCTACAGTCAGACTTTTCTAAGGCATTTTAGCATTATTTCTGTGCATTAGCCCAAGTCTGCACTTTACATGGAGCTTTCAGGATGAAACTCATGAAAGATTCAAATTAAATAAATAACTTTGAATCTAACCTATTGATTTAAAAGAGAAAATGTATGAAGGATGCACTGCAAAGGCCCCAAGCACAAAAGGGTAAAACCTGGGGGAAGCAACATTCCTGAAAGTAGGCAAATGAAGAGAGATTCCCTGATGTGTTTGTATTGCCTGCCATTTCCAGTCATCTATTCCACAAAGCTGTAATTAATTATGGAGAAATTCATTGGACACTGTTCTCAGCTTCCTGAAAACAAGCTGGAGGAGGAACCCATGCAAGGAAAGCAGTTATCACTGCTCTGAACAAGGTTTGGTATTCACCTGCTAACAGGCCAGCCCTTGAAAAAAGAAAAATACAAGGAAAATGTATTTTCCTTTCTGTTCTGCTCACCTCACACAGTTCTCAGATGAGCTGAACCAATTCACACCTCCAGGAACACAGCAACTAATTTTAAAATTTGCATAACATCAACACATTCAAAGGAAATAGGAAGATTAAATATCTAGTTTTTAAGGTTGATGAGTTTCTTTTTGTTTTCTCCTCTTCCTTAAGCCACCGAGATTTGTTTGTTTTGAGAGGGATCTGATCTGCATAGACACCTGGTCATGGGATCATCAAGGGGAGAGAAAAAGGAGTCCCTGATGCAGAAATAATGTTGCCATGAACTTATTCCCATCTGAAAGAAAAAAAAAACAATACTGAGTGCTGTACAATCATTGTTTTCCACTGGGCAAAGTTTGACCTCAGCCAAGTCCTCCTCACAGTCACGTGGGGAAGAGGACTTCTAAATCAGCCACTGAAATACGTATTGAATGCAAAGCTACACAAAATGGTGGGAAAGTAAACTGAGTCAGATGATAAGACTGGGAAAACAAAGCCTCCTGATTTGTTAAGGCATACCCTGCCCAACAGACATAAGAATAATTTTATCCTGCTTTCTACCATTCATATATTTTTACTGTAGCATCTGCAGAACATGTTTATACATAAGTCTGTTCTTTTTTTTTTAAAAAAAAAAACAAACAAACCTAAAGTTTAAATAAAAGTTTATTCAAAGTCACTCTGTTCAGCACGTTTGTGTTTTAACAGACTTCAGTCTGATCTGAGCTCCACAATAAAACACAACATGGCATTCTACTGCAGGAAGGCTGTTTTGCTCAAGTCAAATCATCCTACAAGGTGTTCATCTTCCTCCCAGCACCACACTTAGCACAGTAAGTACAGAATGAATTCTAATGCACACAGCTTCCAGGTGGTAATGAAGCATACACAAAACTTGAAAAATTCCACGAAATTAAAAGGTCAGTAAGTTCACTGTTTACCACAAACAATGCTTTCCAAGCTACAGCTCATTTACTTGATGTGAGAGTTTCCTATTCCTCCCGCAAAGAACTACATTAGTAAGCAATTTTTCCTCCCAGCTTTCCACTCTTGCAGCACACAAACCCAGGACAGCTTAGCAGCCCATCCTGCTGTGTGCACGGCAATGCAGAAAGTAAATGGTTACAGCCTTGGCTGGCAGCTTTGGCACAAGTGTCACACACATGCATCCACACCCACAAATTTGGGTCTAATTTGACAGTCCCCGTATTCTGCAACAAAGCTGCTATTCAAGAGCAAAAGGAAGCTTGTTCCCTATTAACGCAGCCAGGGAGGCTATGAGCTTGCAGGAGGTGCCACAGTCCGTGCCCTGCTGCAGGAGCCTGTCAGCCCAGCCCCAACTGCTTCCAGACGCCCCCTGCCACATTTAAAACCCTGAGCAGAAAAACCATCATCAGAGTGAGCTGTGCATTGGATGCTCTATTCTCCACTCCAGTAATTCTTTCTGTAAGAAAGAATTACTCTCGACACACCAAGTGAGGAACCAAAAAGCAGGGGGCTCCTGCACTGCGCGGCTACGTGACACCAGCATTACCACGTGCCACAGAATCTCCTTCAAACCGAGTCCTTGGAAGTCAGAAGGACTCAGTAAACTCACCTGAGGGTTATCACTGTGTATTGGCAGTACAACTGAGTGAATACAAGCAATGTCTTTAGGGAGCAGGGAGGAAATGAGCAGAATCTCCATCACTGGTGGTGAGAAGCATTTTACAGGAATAGGAGGAAAGGAAAGAGCTGCTGAAACTTTTTACTCACATATAATGGAGCTTGCTGTGGATTAAGTTTCATGACCTCAGAACACTGAAACAAAAAAGAAAAGACAAATTTAGGACTGTTTTCCATAAAATGTTAAGTACTTCTCCATAGCTGCATGATGTTACATTTCCAATGTGGTACTAGCATTCTTACATTACTACTTCTAATAGAAAGTTATGTAAAAAACTATTTTCTGTATTTTCCCTCTTCCAGGTCAACACGGATCTGCTATTTTTTCATTTATGCAGTTATTAAGCAAAGGCAATTCTAAAACAATTTACTGAGCAAATCAACGTTTGCTTCCCATCTGTTGGCTCTTGTGATATTCCAAAGTGAAACTGGCTTCCCATTCACACACCCCTAAACCCACCCCTCCTCCTAGCAACCTTTGCTTCTTATGACAACGATCAGTCCTTCATTACACATCTGTCCATATATTTCCCTCGCTTCCATAAGCTTTCCCATTTCTCCACTGCAGCAGCAAACAGCACAAGCAAAAGCTGTAAGATTCTGTTTAATGCATGTATAAAGCAATCCAAGCTCCTGAGAAAATAATTAAAAACTCAATCTCTGTCATTGCTCATGTCTGCAGCGCTGCAGTCTGCACAGCAAGTACTTTAACCCCATTTCAGAAGGAGATGAAGCATCACTCTGCTTTTCCACAAAGAAGCAACCTACACAGGATCTTCTTCATTCTTTGTTCCCTTCCAAAACCCCCAGCTTGCCTTTAGTGAGACAGAAATCCAAAAACAGTTGACGTTCTCATAGCTGATTCCAGCTTTTAGTGCTCCCTCACACGCTCTCCTCATACTGCAAAGTGCTTTTGCACTGGTTATTCTCAGTGGCTGAGCTACCTGCTGAGCTGCTCGGCCCAACACCATCCTGCTGCAGAAGGTCCCACACCACAGACAGATGAACACCCCAAAATACTTCTAGATTTATTCAATTCATAGTTATTTTCAGCCTCAAGAGTCCCCTCCAACAGCAAGGATGCCTCAAAATGGTTACACTTGATAGTTTTCCCTACCTCTTTGGATTTACAAAGAATTACTTGCTGGTGAAAACAAGGGACAAGGAACACAAGCTGTCGTTTGGGCTGGTAAGCTCCAAAAGCAGCTCTGCAAGCAATCCTCCATATGATATGCTCCTGCCACGCCAGTCCTACTGAGCTCTCACAACGAAAAGCAGAAAACAGGGGGGGAAGGGGGGGGGGGAAGGGAAAGGAAAAAAGACTAAAAGATAATTAAAAAAACCAAAACCAACAGAAGTGCAAACCATGCAAGCCTTGCCAATCTGCCTCATGACCTACCTGAACGTCTCTGCTATTCTGAACATAGACATCTTGAACAGGGGAACCGAAGCAAAACCCAGCTGAGAGCTGTTATTGTACCTTACAGAGATTAAACCAGAGTTGGACAAACTCCCTTCAAGCCCATCCCGCATTTGAATTTTCACAAAGTCTCACTGCAACAGAGCAATTCCCTCCTGAAGCAAAATTAAGTCCCGCAGTCTGGCTCAGCAATCTGGTAGCATTTGGATATGACTTAAAAAAATATATTGCTGCAGAGAAGCAAAACAGTTGTGTCTCAGATGAGAATGTTTAAAGAGATTTAAGACAAAGCACTGCTTTCTCACCATTTCTTTTCAAGTCATGACAAGTACATGAACTACTTCTCTTTTTGCTCATAAAAGATGCTGTGTGATATACCTTCAAAGTCAACGTGCCTACATTTTTGCATTTATAAAAACTTTCAGGATCACTCTTTATCCCTGAAATTCAGCCATACCTCCACACTGGCTATATTACAACTGGCCTAAGATACAAGTTAGAGAATGTCATATGAAACATTCAGGAGAACAGAACATAACAGGTCTGTATCTCCCCAAGATACAAAATTCTACTCCTCGAGTTCCTCCCCATTCCCAAATAATTAGTTTTACTAAACTCTCGTCAGTTATTTTAGCTTCTCAGAAGTCAGCTCCGACGAAAGGAAGTCATTCTAACACACTTGAAGTCATCCTTTCCCCGTCATTAAATAACAGCTTTACCTCTTCCACATCAAGGTTCACAGGTATGTTATTGTCACCGCTGTCACCACACAAAATAACTTCTGTGATTTGCAATCAAGTTACAGCTGCAGTTACCCACGACGCCAAAAAAGCAAACATACTCTCAGGAAGCTTGCACCTCATCTTCACCACAGCCGTTTGCTTTGCTGGGACAAAGCTGTGGGGCAGGGGCCAATGTGCCCTACAGATACAGGACTGCCATTGCTACCTCCCCACCCTGCTCCTGTTAGCTACACCCAGCCATCAAGTCAACACTTTCAAAAAAGCCCAACCCAAAGCCTCACCAACCAGGCAGGAAGCATCCGCCTGACCCCAGCGCGCTGCTAAAACAGCAGCAGGATTCATTCTGATTTATTGTCCCACCCCTGGTGCAGGTTTGAGAAGCAGGAGAGCTGCCGACAGAAGGGATCGGGTATGAAGCCAGACCTTTAGTCACCTTTTTTACTGACAGCTTCAGCCTACCTCCTTCCAGCTAAGCCATGGAGGGGCCTTGTCACACCATGCTTGGTGTTTGGGCTGCCATGCCATAGCGCTGAGCCACTATGAGCCCCCTCCCCTGCTTTCACAAGTTTTGTGCAAGGTGCCATCCTGACTCCTACTGCTAATGCTCCTCACACCTTCATACGCAGCAGAAATTGCAGCTCCTGCACTCCATCACAATGCCTACTGTCAGATTTATCCAAATTAAGAAGCTGTTACACTGTACATCATGCCCAATACCATCAAATCATTTTTCTTGTAGGTTCCATTGTGCAAACCCTGCACTCAGGCTCCATTACATTTTATTGTTGTTTGTTTGTTTGTTTTTAAATCAGATCACTTTAACAAAGCAGACAAAACAAGCAATATTATGAACTCTCAAGATCTTTGGTAGAAACTAGTATAAGAAGTCTGACTGCACTGATGGTGTCAAAGATGTGTACAAAACAGCAACAGTAGAAGGGTATCCTATCAACAGAGCATTTGGATTTTTGCTATTCAAGTAATCACGTGGCCTTGCATACTCTGACCTCTGCCACCCTACAGAAATGCATATTGCATTGCTTCATCCCCTTCCTGGCAGATGCCTGGCAGCAGCTGAGCAGAGAGAAATAGAAAAGAACACATGCAGGTCAGGAAAGGAAGGATGGGCTGGTTCCAAACTCCCACAAGATGAGGTTATGCTGTGGGAGAGTTGAGTATCGTTGAAAAGACTGCGGTCACAAGTTGCAGGGGCCAAAAGAAGGCTTCATACCTAAGGAAGTGAAAATACTGACACTGCTCATGAAAGAAAAGGGGATGCCCAGGAGTTCAAACACATGGCTGGGCTGGTGTGGGATTTTTGTCTGTTTGCAAGAGAAGTTCATTGCAGCAGCAGTGAGGTAAGGTAAGAGTGTGACTGTCTTGATGCTTGATCTTGACAAACAAGAAAAATATCTGGAAATACTTCCTGCAGGAAGATTTTCCCCCTTTTATCTTCCTAGAAGTCTTCACATCAATGGCTTAAATGAAACAATTTAATATTTCATAATATATATGTCAGTCCAATTTTTCAAAGTAAACAAACTTCATTTGCAAGGAGACAAGCAAGTTCTGAAGATATTTTATCTTGTTAGGAAGTGCTCTGGCAAACACATATGAAAAAACCAGAGTGACAGATAAGTATGAACGACTGTTTCGCATCAGCAGAGGACTAAAAGTCAGTTTCTGGATGTTAACTTCTCCAGCCAGTGGGTAGGCAGGCAGCCTCCGAAAAAAACAACTTAGGAAAATGAAAAGAAAATGAAAACAAAAGACTGTGATGGTAATTATTAGAGCAAGATTCATAAGGATCCTGATTTAATTTGGACTGCTTTAAATGTAAAATTAAAAAAGGGGGGGGAGGGAAGAGGAAGCAAGGCTCTTCAGTGTTGAGAAATAGAAAGCTATAAAACATTTTCTTCTGTATTGATTAGAGGAGGACTCATAGGTTAGAGGAGGACTGCATAGATTAGAGGAACTCATCTTTTGAGTTGATGCCTGCTCTGCTCCCCAGAAAGCAGTTCCTATTTTTTGGACAGGTAGTACCACATCTGCCCTATCAGACAATGCAAAGCGCAGAGAGAAAGCCTGGCCCTGTTGTGAGATACGGAGTTGGACTGCAGCAGTAAATGAACTGCTTTGAGAGCCAAGCCAACAAGAAAGGGCAAATAACAACCCCACACCCATCCTTGTTTTAAGGCCTTCAACCTGCTACAGTTCGTGTTGCAAAGAAAGAAAAATCACATCCACTGCACCTTCTCCATCATCAAGTCAAGCCAGAAAAAAAATGAAGAGTATACTTAGGAGTCCCAGACATAAATTCAAGTGAAAACCTCACAGGAAGAGCAGCTCGCTTTCTGCAGGCAGGGCACACGCAGCCTGCACTGAAACATGCTGATGTATTCTATCAGAAACAATTGCTGCACGCGCTCAACCTAGGATCTGCCTACAGAATCAAAAAGAAAATGACCGTGGCAGTTACTGCCAACTGGAAGGGCTCAGCTCTGTCCCCAGATGCTACTTGTCACAGTGCTGGAGCAGGCAATGCGACTGCTCTGAACGCTGACTCGAGGCAGCTTCCCAAGCTGTGATGCACAGAGCCAAACTTTTCCAAGTGAGCAAAAGGAATTCCAGCACCACACTCCCCGATGCTGGGGGAAGCAGCCCTGCAACCTTTGCACAGACCAAGGCTGTGCTCTGGGTACTGTCATGGCAGCCAGCAACACTGCTTTATGAGCAAGCAGTCACCACGGGTGGAAATAGGAGTGTGAGGACCTGGCTGGTTCTGCTAAGTCTGCAACAGACCAGGTGGTCACAGCACCCAAAACGCAATCTGCACCCACTAAAATGCATCTCATGGCACCAGGAGTGGCGAGAGCATCTCCATCCCCCAAAGAGCAGCACATTTACCTTATCTTCTCCTTTTCTAAATCAAAATATTGGCCAAGAGCCTGGCACTTGTTTCCTCATCACCC